CGAATGCAAATGCTGAAATATCTGGTAGCAAGTGGAGGCTCGACTCTCCTCAGGCTACAAAAATATTGAGAGAAATATTCTAAGTATTGGGCTCAATATGAAAACTCGAATCTTATTATCTAATCTGACTAGGTTCACTCACTCGATTTTATAAATAACTTTAAAACCTATTTTAGGAATTTACGAGTTGATTTTGAAAATTTATTGTCTTTGAGGCATACTAGAGTTCTCTGGAATATTTATAAGTCTGGACTATATTCTGACTGGACTTAAATCTGACTGGTCTTTGAGCCAATAGACGTTCAACATTTTGACGGTGCTCCCTCATGCAGTTGCTTTCCTTTTCTCTTCCCAGCCTTTGCTGTTTTTTGACCAATTGGTCGACGCACATATATTTCCTCACCATCAGCACAAGGCCCGACATCTTGCCCAGAGCCAGAAGTTTGATCTCCAATATCAGATATTTTAGTTTTCTTTCCTCTTCGAGATGTTTGAGATGCCCCATCAAATTTGGCATTATTTTTTAATACCTCCCAACAATGAATCCATTTGGAGCCTCATTTATTTTTTTCTCTCGCTATTCCACTCAATTAATGCATTGTGCAATACAATTTCGACATTTTCACTACTCCTTTGATCAACTGAAAAATGTTTAATGACGCATTAAATTTGAGACAGGCTCCATGAAAAGCATAAAAATGAGATTTTTCTTACTCCATAGTTCTCTGAATGAGGTTTCGTGATTGACCAGCTTAATTATAGTTTCAGACATTTGTTGAGCGCCAATAACTTGAACACTTGAGATGTTACAGAAAGCTCTGCATAGTGAAACATCCTCTCCATGTGTCCACGACATTGTTGTCGCATTACCGCATCTTTTAAGCTCAACTTCTTTTGCTTTTCTGAATCCGTATCAAGAAAAATGTCGACGAGTCCTTCAACCTCTGGGATCGTGCAAGGTCTTGGGACTTCAATGGGGCTACTAGAGAATCCGTTGGCATGAAATTTCCTTGTTGATAAGGCATCCCAAATGCATTTGGAATGCCACAATGGGGCGTCACTGTTTGTAATATTTTTGTGAGTGGATAAATTAGTAACCGAGCTATCCGGACTTGGGTCGTTCTCAAAGGAAGACTGTTCGGAGCGTCGTTTACTATCTAGTCGTCAATTTCACAAGACCAAAAAAAAAATAAAAATAAAAAAAATAAAAATAAATTCCTAAACATTCTAATCAAAGGATTGTTGGGATTAATTATAAATACGCTAATAAAATAGACAAAGCAAATTGAAATATTATAACTACAAACCTCTAGCCTCCGAACCGGATCACTAAAGATTACTAAAATGAGACCGAACAACCTTAACTTCCGAAAACGGATCGCTAAGGATAAATGAACATTGCATCTTAATAACTAAGTCCGCAATAAGGAGAACATGACGTTAAACACGTTACCTTCGGAATAGCCGAGCTCAAACATGAGTCACGACTTTCCTAATAACGAATTCAACAACACACATTAATAAACACAAAAACACAAACCGAATATCATTAGCCAAAACACTCTAAATTACTTCTACAACGAGATCGCAATCTAGATACAAAATACGGAATATTACGTCTTTAAACAAAGTCCTTAATTTCCTAATGCACGATTAAGCTAATGAAAATCGGAAACTTACAATCGAATGAATTGCCGGAAATGCCTTCGGGAAACCGATCAACACACGAGCAACATAGAACCAAACCGAGATGCAGAGAATGTCGTAGGGAAGCCAATCAACGCACGAGTAATATAGCTTACAAACCAAATTGCCGAAGATATCATCGAAAAATCGATCAACACTCGAACAACAAATATTACAAACCAAAATACAACGGAAAGAATAAAATCTTCTCCTCAGCAGGGGAGAAAGAAAGAAAAAGAACGAAAAAGGAAGGTTAACAATATTCTTTCCAATCCAGCAGAGCAATGAATTTATACAGCGAAACAAATCTCTCAAGTGGAGCACAAAAGCCAGACCATATTATGCACTTGGCACGGCGC